GAAATAAAGAAAAATCGGATTCTTTGGAAGACAATTCCTTTTTTCGAGATCAGTGAATATCGTTTTTCTCTATTTTGTCTTCTACAACTGATCAGTAAATTAAAAATAACTTTCTAAATATAATTATCATTCAGTGTTTACCCTTGGTATTCATAAGGTATCATAAAAATTGATTTTACTTCGTGAAATTAATATTCCGAATATGTTAACAACATAAACGTGTAAATAAAATGGATGTTTATTGAATAATATTATTTACGTTACTGTATGTTCCAAAAAAGGAAAATGAAAATTTAGGACCGATACTCTAAAAAATATCACTTATCCAGTATACCATCTATAGTATCGAAACGTTCGCATGCATAAATGAATTTTAGTTTAGCGAATTATACAACGACAAAAAATATCATTGAAATTTAAAGCACATAACGTCGGCCATTAACTTTGTGCACTTAAACGCCGCTCTTGTTCTCAACAATAGAAAATATCTGAAGCGGCATGGGTTTACGACTCGCAAGGTTAATATACACTTTCGTCGTAAGTGGAGGCGCGAAATAGATTTAATAATTAACATCAATTTTAAGTGAAATGAATATTTTATGATCATGAAGTTTTTTCAACCAGAGAATCCTTTTTAAGCACGTTCTCATTATTTAAATTAGCGAGTATACTTTGATCCGAGAGATTTTAGTGTAGATTTTATTTTATCCTGTAATTTATTTATTAATATATTCACTATGATAGCTACGTTAAATGGTAAAGATAGGTTAGTTTTTGCTAATGCTTATTGCTAATATTCTTCAAAAGCGAATCGAATAAGAAATTATTTTAGTAGAATAAACAAACAATAGTGTGAAGTAAAGAATGCACCACTGAATAAACAATAATTGTTATTAATAATATTTGTCTCTGTTATAAATAAAATATATGATATTTGTACGAAGCATATGGAATTCGTGCAACAATCGACAAGTGGTTTGGAATAAAGCAAAAGATAATGTTTTAAAACGTTATGA